TTCCCACATACTTCTTACACAATATATAGAATACACAAAAACAAACAATACACAAATAATTCTTACAGCTCAGACAAGTAACTCCTGGCCGAGTTTCAAGACATAATTCTCAGATATAAAGTTGTTAGAATAAAAAAGGGATGAATTCCAATATATAAGTGTGTTGTAAGAACTCAAAAGAGCCCTTGCTAGCTAAAATTTAAAATCCACATACAAATATGTAAATTTCCACCTATAAAGAAGTTGTTAAAGCCCAAAGAAGTAACTTCAGAATAGAGTTCCTAAATACAAATAAATTGTCAACACTTGAAAAAGTAGCTCCTGACCAAGTTTTAGGGTAAACTTCTCCATACAAAGAAGTTATTAGAACTCATAAAAGTAACTTCATTCATAATAATTCAAGGAAGGAATTTTTAGGTAAAATTAAATTGTTAAAATTCAAAGCAGTGCCACTTTGTTCAATTTATGGACGGAATTTCCGCTTCCAAAGGTATTAAAGCCTAAAGGGCTAATTCCTGGTTAGTTGGTCAATTGGTGGCCCTAGATTTCAGGTCCGGATTTGCACATACAAATCGGTTGTGAAAATTCAAAGAAGTAACTTTTGGGTATGTTTTAAGGCTGATTTCTCACATGTAATAAAATTGTTAGGTATCAAAAAGGTAACGCTTGGTCCAGTTTTAGAGCATACTTTATATATACGAACAAGCTGTTAGGAGTTAAAAACCTAACTTCTGACCAACTTTCAAAGCACAATTTCTATAGACAACTCGAACACGTAACTATTGACCAAAGATTAACGCTGACTTTTCACATACAATGAAACTTAAAAAGGTAACTCCTGACCAGGTTTCAAGACTGAATTTCAGCATACAAAATTGCTAGTATAGGAAGCAAAGACTGAAACAGGTAAATAAATTGTTAAAATTTAAAAGGTAACTCTATAGCAAGTTACAAGATACAATTGCCACACAAAAAAAATTTTGGAACTCAAAAAATTTGTAGTTTCGTAAAAGTTCTGTCAAAAGAATTCGTACACGAAGACGTTGTTAGAATTCAAAGAAGCTGTAGGATTAAATACCCACATAAAAAGTCATTAGAACTCAATGTAATAACTCCTAGCCAAGCTAAAGCGTTTCTGATTACGTTAGATTTGCATTTTCTACTATTTTATTTCTGGCCAGGTTTCGGGACAGTATTTTCGCATGTAGGAAATTGAGCATCTCGTCATGTCCCAAGACGTAACATTCACATGCAAGAAAGTTGTCATAAATCAAGGACGAAATACCTGGTTAAGTTTCTGAACAAAACTCCGACAACAAAGAAATTGTTAGATGTCAGAGGTAGAACTCCTGCTTATCTTTCAAGACGCATTCCCGCATATAAAGAGGATGTTATAAGTCAAACACTTGGCCAAAAGTCAATAACAGAATTCCCATATAATAAAAAATTACTATAACTAAGAAATAACTCTTAGTGAAATTTTTCAGGATAGAATTCCCACATACGAAAGAGTTGTTAGAATTAAAAAAAAATTTTCAGAAGAAGGAAATGGCCAAGTCTTAAAACAGAATTCCCACATATAAAAGGTTATTAGACGACAAACACAGAACTCTTGCCTATCCGTCACGACTAATTCCCACTTACAAATAAGTTGTTGGAAACCAAAACCGGAAGTTCTGGTCGAGTTTCAGGATGGGATTTTCACAAAAAGATTATTGAGAGGGGCAACCACTTCGTGTTATTCGTTCGCGTTGGTGCTTTAGAGGACGTTTAGTGTTTACTCATTCAAAATTGCACTTATCAGACAGCTAATAATAAATTTTGGCATCCACATTAGTTATGTAAGAGATATTTATTAATGTGAAAATGAAGCACCGATGGTTGCGCTGATGTCGTCTCGCAGTTTGTTATTAAGCTTTCGAAGTAGACTGACCATCGTTCCCAACTGAAAAAAGTGTTTTTGGAGCTTATTAAGATTGCAATTCGTAGCAGCGTGGCTCCTAACAAACGTGTGCGCGCGCTCGGACTCGCTAGCACTATTTTTTGATACTTCGATTTGTAGGCGAACTTCCTCTTTGCCGTGTACTCGCCGTAGCTGATGCATTGTTTCTGCTAACGAGTATACTTAGATGCTCACGGCGTTGTCATTCAGACCACAACTTCAGCAGACGGTGGGTGTTTATTTGTGGGATTTGAGAGTACACTTATTTGATCACTAATAACGAAGTTTACCGTTCGCGTTAACTTGATTACCTGATTAATAAAAGCACACAATAATCGCCCCGTTCATCTTTTTGAATTTTTCTCCCTCTATCTACTTACTCGAAAACTTTTTTGTCCGAGTTCCTCGTGGAAGCTATAATAGTGGAAGCACTGAGCCCACTTGATATGAAAGACTAGCACGTTCAGGCACCATTGCGCTCTTATTTCATTTCTTGCGGCTTCTAGTGCTACTTCTTTAGAAAACAACACCTGTTTTTTGCGAAAGGTGTATTTAAATATTCTTTTATTACTTCTTTCCATTGTTTCATAAATGCTTGTGTGCATGTTGCTCTTAGTTTTCATCCTTAACAAGTCGAGTTGTTTGTCGCGACAGACCGGCTGCACGAACACAAATTATTATGACAAAGGTTCGCAGTAACATGTAATTCTCAACAGTGAACAGAAACCCTCCACATTCATATAGTGTCGGGAAAATACTCGAAATTCCTTTCACGGATCATCTCGGGTATTCACTTGCGTCGTCCAATGGTGTTATTGCTAGGGGTACCCTTATTGATAAGGGTAATATTTTGAAGATTTGCTTTACCTATCCAACCTTTACGATAAAAACGCTCTTCTCTACTTCTGCGGTCGACGACGGGTTTTTATGATTCATGGGATCACTGCCGCCACCGTCAAGATTTATAATAACTTATTTTTTTATTATAAAATACTCTTTGAATTTCCTCTCTTGTCGTCAAAAAGGGAATTTTAGAGAATGGCGGCTTTGTCAGGATAACTCGACTTATTTCAAATAGGTTGCTTATATACGCTGTAAGTGATTTTTTCCAAACGTCTAAGTTATTACGATTTTTTCTTACGAAAGAAATTCCTGCAAAGGCTAAAAGAAATCTTGTAGACTGTAGTAAATAAAAGTTATGTGGTGCGGTTTTTCATTGAAAATCTTCTGAGCTTTTTCGAGAGGTTTTCCCAAAAAGATCATTTTCTACCACCGTTATTTTCTAAAAATGCTATCTCTGTAACAGGCTCAAGCATCCCAAAACATCGTAGCTTTTTGCGCCTGGCGCTAGATGGAAGGCTTCCATTTTTTAATTATGCGTGACAGGTACTTGCTCCAGCTTACGCTAAGGGCAATTAACCCTTTTGACATCCGGTCTATTTAAAATGTTCCTTCAAAGCGGTCTATGCGCGACAATCGTTCTTACGCTTTTCCGTTAATCGTTCCACAATTTTCCTTTAAATCGCCCTCGTTTTAACCTATCAGCGTTTTCCTCAAAAGACGAGTACCTTTTTATCTATTGGCGAAAATGGAAAATTTGGCTAGAATATGAAGCGTGCCATTCAAGACGAAAAACGCACACTTAAAGTAGATATGAAAATTTTACGTATAATGTCTTCATAAAGACTTCTAAAGAATTCGTGCTTTATCAACTTCCCATGCCCACAAAAGGTGAAATCAAACGAGAAGGTCTATAAGAAAGTTCTCGGTCTGTCGCTGGAATATCGAGTCTACGCAACAGCCTTGTTTACGTGATTAGGCTAACGGAAAAAATCACCATCATAAATGCCTTTTTCAAATTTAATTGCGAGAACTGTTTGACTGGCATAAATGTGTAGGAACATTTAATTACTACAAATACCAAATAAATGACGTCAACATTGTTGCCACTGGCGGCGCGGATGACCCATAAAAGATGTCTCGTCTCATAATCCGCAGCGAGGTTCTGTCAAGTGTTAAAAACCTTTAAAAAACGAAACAAAAAAAGTAGCGTACCTATCTCTAATTTTGAAGTTGAGTCAAACTCTTGTTTAAAAATTTAAAGAAAGTACATAGCGAATACGTCCAGTCTTCTTTATTTTTGCACAATAGTGAAATACCAATCAACAATATCCCGCGCTTTTTCGGAGTAAAGCAAGACATTCGCGAAATCACCCAAATGTTTCCAGTCAGTGTCAATCCTATTTTTTTTAATTTCTACATTGAAAATCACTCACTACAACCATTTAGAGCATGATTTTTCAATTACCTTTGAAGACCTTCTCCACGATCCCAACAATAAGCTCTTCAGACAAGTTGTTATTTATGCATTTCCACCTGGCATGGACAATTTGAAATCGTCATATTCGTTCACTTGGATCGTCGTGTGACTTGAATTGCATTACTACTCAAATTTGTCGATTAGTAAATGATGATCCTTATTCTATTGAGATTTTATTACGATTTGGAGAAAAGTTCAGGCAGATCAGAGGAGATCGCTAAAGACTCTAAGAGCTTTAGGTAGAGGTTTTGCAAATATAATCTCGGATTTATCAAAGAAGGCTTTTATTCCTTTTATGAAAAAAAAAGAACTATAACAGTGACGAAAATAATACTATCGCTGCCGCTGAAAGTAGATGGCGGCTCCTTATCAGAAAATACACTACCTATATGAAGTAATAAAATGCAATCCAGATTTGAGGCCCACGACATTTTGGACTCATAATGACTTTCGCACTTGACAGAAACATCGCTTTGATTTAATGTAATATAGTAAAACACATTTTCTATGTTTGAATGGTGTTCGCGCCCTGATTTTACAATACTTTACTGCGAAACGATGTTTTCTTAGCTGCTTCCGCTCTCTTTTATTTCGCCAATTGCTTTATTAAAACCGACATCTTTAATTTTTCTATTTGGTCTTTCTATGGATCATTCGCTGTATTTAAGCATAGCATAACACACAGTAACGAAACATCACTAAAAAATTCGCAAAGGATTTGTGGTGGTCGTTCCTCACCTGGGATATGCTCATGCTGACCGGAATTTACCCTTGCGCCCAAAAGCATTGCTAAAAGATCTCATGGCTTAGATACGTTCCTTAAGAAGCTCGTTGTTGAAATTTTTAGTCATCTTTCTAAAACACCTCAGAATAGATTTCATAGTCGCCTCTTATTTAACCACGACTGATACGTCACAAGCACAATAGTGTGCGATTAGAATTGTCCTGAAAAACTGATTCGCCAACGAGAACTAGTGGTTAGGTTTTGCTCCCACACGGCTCGAGGTTTGAATAGATGCGGTTTCATTGTCCTTGGACGTTCCTATCCTGTATCGCTCTTTCCATGGAATGTTAATTCAAATATTCTATGAAGTAAAATCTTTTACACAAATATAGATTCAATGTTTTGTCTCATAATCGATTCAAATTACTTACTTTACTCTTGAAGATATTTAATACAAGCTGATTATATCGTTGCATCATAAGAGGGAGCTCTGCACTTTTTTGATGAATATTTTGCCCCGTAATGTGTACGGCAGCGAGCAACTCATCGAAATGCAACACAATTCATTTGGTGACACGTGAGAAACTAGCTGCTTTCCGAGAAAGCGATGCAAGTTGAGAGTAGAAGTGGTCGTTTATGGTACCATAAGACAAACCTCTAGGTCGTCTTTTCTAACGAATATAAATCTACCGACCGACTGCCGCGTTCTTTGAGATCGCTCACGATTGCCGGCTCGTTTGTCTTCCATTTGTTGGCTGCATCCTTACCGAACCGATCTATTTATTGCTTTTATCGATAAAGTGAATAGCCTAATTTACTGTGCCGGAGTCGTGCTACACCGTGGAACAATGGATCCCTGAAACGATACGTGCCTGACAGATTGACTCGCTTGAAAATCTCTTTTGCATCTAGCAGCACAGTACCTTGTTTTCAGCAAAGACTTGCCACACATACCAAAACAGCGGGCGGTCATTTTCAGCAGGATTGAGCATTGACGAAAGGTGATGTCGGCGAAGACGATAATCGGTGTAAGCGAAAATTAATTAACAGCTATCTAGATCCGCGTTCATGTTCAGTGCGGACAACAAGTGATAGTTAACGATGATTTGCAAGCCATCACGGTAGAACAGTCAAAATCATTTTTTATGGCTGCCGTACACATGAACCAAAACCTGACGATGAAACATGTAATTATGATCCATCATGGTATCCCAGCCGCTAACAAAAGGGCTGGCTATCGGATCTTTGTAACGAGTCATGACGCCGACGAACGTTGAACAGATAGCAAAAGTGAGCAATAAATAAATAGATGCACTCGTTCGTTGAACATCAATCCTCGATTTCTGGTTCATCATCGGTTATATGAAAAGCTTGGTGGCATTGAATCTGATTGTCGGACACAGTTTAGGGAGCTTTGACAGTTTCAAGTAATTCATTTGGATCTATCTTTTTAGTTATCTGGTATAAGAGCAGTGTGACTACATGTCTGTATCTCTTCTCCAATAATTTTTTTTTGCAATTTAGATTTCTTCAGGCGAAGAATAGTGAATTAGAAAGTTGAAAGACGACGCACTGCTCCAACTTTGATTTTTCATTAACCGTGCAGTCGAGGTCTTATTGCCAGACGTAACTGGGCTAATTTACAACTTCATGGTTCTATGATTCGAAAGTATTTACTGTGGTTTCTCACAGCCATGGCGCACTAATCCACAGCTAGATAAATTAGAGTCTCTTATTACAGTTTTTACACGATTACAATATTAAAGGGTTAAACATAAATTATAGATCTTGTCGGCAGAGCACACCATCGAGTAGCGGATTATTTTTGTCAACTGCGGTAGCAAAGTTCGAAGCGCGGTGATGAAACCACGCCGTTGACACTGTTATATTCATGCGGTATAGGTCATACACAGTGAAGGGTAGTAAGCGGTTGATAACCGAGAAAGCCGTGAAGATGACAAGCCTTCCATTTGCTACAATAGGCGCGATCTGCATACCAATGCTGAGGTTACGGCACTAAATTGCGAAACCTTAAGGATCGGTGGATGGCCGCTAATAAATTTAAGAGAAGACTGGAGATGTCCATAACTCATCGTTGCCTATTTAGCTAGTAACGCTGCAGTATATAACAGTAAAAACAACATTGTTGAGAAGGCTGCTTCTCTCTCGGAGGCAGCCAACAAACGAATCAGTTTATTTTCACTTTAACATAGAATTGACACGCCTTTGAATAGAAATTTATAGTCACAATGCTTTTTAATGCCTAAATCCATCATTATCATTTGACGCTTTTCGGTGATTACACGTAAAATGTAGAGTTTGTATTTACCCTAACAATTCTAAATCCGTTGTTAGCAGTTAACCCATATACATCTTGCTGTCATTAGAACTAAAGTACATCGCTATACCGTGTTACATGTCAGCCGGTGGGATTTCTACAGTTTGTCACTTCAACTGATGCCGACTAGACAGATACCAGCTGAGTGAAGGCGATGGCGCACAAAAATTGTTTCCCATAAATATAACACATACAGCTCAACATGCTTTTGAGAAAGGAAATATGATTTGACCGACTGCATATATTCACTATAGTAGCAGAAAGGGTGCTATAATATTTGTCTATGATCAACGATTGGTTATCAGCAAACGTTATTGCAGTATTTGAACGAGTTTTAGTTATCTGTCGTGGAGATTTTAATGTTAATCTGCTGCCTAACCCCTATGCCACCGGTACTGTTCTCTCGTCTCCACATCCATCCGGTTTTGTCCTCGCCATTGACTCGCATTTACCCTGAACCGAATCCTTGCCCTAATCATGTGTGACTATCCGAAAATATAAAGGCTTCTGATATCGCATGCGGTGTAACTGATACCACGGAAATGTTCGACCATTATACAGTGTATATTTCTGTTAAATGTATGACGATCAAAGCCGGTCAACAGGATGCCTACAAGAAAAGCATTTTTAGTACATACAATTATGAACAATTTACCCTGATTCTGATGAATGGATTTTAGAATACTGTATTTGTTCAAGTACGCCCCTTTACAAGCTTTTCATCGTACTCTCTTTGCAAATAAGGTTTCCTATTATTACACAACCTTCACCATCACATACACAAGCGTGATGAGTGGTGGAATGTTATACTGGAACATATGTTTAGGCATTGCGACAGACTTGCTTGTAAATACTATAAAGAAAATTTCAGTCGTGTGAGGTCTGAATGTTGTTCAAAGGTTGGAGAGAGAAGATATGCCTGTTTAGTAGAAAAGTGTATAGGCTGAACGGGCCACCTGGTAGTTTTTTAAATTTACACAGCAAATTCCACACTAAATTCATAATGCAAATCGCCTATCGGAAAATTTCCGTTTAACCCGTGAGAATATACATACAACAGCGAACGTGTTTGCGGGCCACTTTTAAGCAACTAAAGGTTTGGAGGTGTTAAGTATAGGTCAATAGAGGAGGAGAGAAGGTTACCGTTTCTTAAGGTAACAAATGAGAAATGATGCAACTGTGAGATATTCGCCTACTTAGAAGTCACATCTAGGTTTGAAATGAGGTGCAGACGCACTTCGTATCATTCGAGCGGTCCACCGCCTAAAGCAATGCTCTGCTTTTGTTTGATTTGAACTTCTATTCAAAATATCTGCAATCACTGGCCAATAATGTGTAGTCGCTTAGACATTTCACGTACTGTCGAGTTCGAAAGAATGTATCTCCGTAGCGAAATTATCTGCGTGCGGTTTTTTAACGCGCTAGGACACGTATCGACATTGTCGATGGCGAAGCAATTTTAAACTGCTGTAGAAAGGACGGCACTTACTAACACGTATGGTTCAATGGCATTAGAAGATGCATGAGCATTCGAGTTATTACATAAAGTTCAGGTATCTGATTCCGTCTTTCCCCGTACAATGCAGATAACAATCGTGGCCCTATTATCGCTACTGTTATCTATTTGATAGCACTGACGTTGTTGTGACGTGGTTGTATTTTGAAATGAATTTTAGTAAGTTTCATGCTGTTGCCCTTATACATGAATTCATAAATTGTTACAACTCATAGATAGAATTACAAAAAGGCATTTCAGAAGAGTTTAAGAGCCAAGCTCAGATAAGAAAACAATCGCAAAGAGAAATTGCTTGTCGCTTGACAGTGTAACTTAAAAATCGAAAACGGTGCACAATGCAGCGAAAAGACAGGATCATTCTAACCGCGCTACAAAAAAAACGACTTGTAACGAGTTCTGAACTTCATCAAAAGCTAATAAGCCGCGGAATCACTGTGTCTATGAGGACTCTCCGACGTCATATCGAAATGTGTGGTTTTAGCTGCTGCAAACCACCCAAAGCACATCAGCCAGCTCAAGGCATGCGTATTTCAGATGCTCCAAATCGCTTTAAAGTTGGACTGCTGAAAAATGGTGGACTCCTGTCTTTCAGGTGAATCGAAGTTCCATTTCATCAATATGATTACAAAATAATGACAATACAGTGATGTAACTCAAACAGAAATACGACTTCAAGTACGAAAGTGGTGTTCATACATGAGAAGTCAATACGTCATATGAAAAAGTGTGCTTTATGACGAAGTGGCAAAGTCTTCTCAAATTTTTATTTAGCAATTTTAGCTACCATCTCTTTATGAGGTCTTTTTAAGTTTAACATCTAGGACTTTCACCCGTTAGGAGTCCAGCCGCAATAAGACTTTCTGGATTTATTTAGGGTTTCCTCAAGGAACTTACGAAACAGCATGGCAACCACACAAGCAGCTATTAACCGAAATAATTATTTCTTACCTTTCCTAATTTCTTTATTTTTCCTCAATACCTTATCTTCTTGGTTATTAATTTCTGGTTATCGTTTTTGCCAAGGCTGAAATTTAAACCAGCATGACGGCATGATTGTTATTCATGATTACCATGGCAATGCTATCAACGAAACGCGCGTTAGCCGCCTAAGCCACACCGCTTTACTGTGTTTCTAAGGCTTTTATTGTTAATGGTGTTCAGATTCTGCCGTGGCCTAAAAATTCATCTGCTTTGGATCTGACCAAAAACATGTGGCATCATGTCAAGAGGCGACTCAGGCCCGGATAGAATATCGCGAAAATTTTCCAATTCAAGAATACAGTATTGAAAGTGTAAGTCCAGGCGTAACGGAGACAGTGCGAAAGTGCATTGGCAGTATGCCGAACCGAGTTGCAGCCGTGATTGTAACCTGGGATGAATAAACTAAGTATTTATTTCAGTAAAAGCCTTTCTATCCATAGCAGTTTTAAGGTGCTCCTTTCACATATGCTATCATCAACAGAAAACAGAGGAAGGTAGCTTTCGAAAGAAAAAACCGCGTACAGGTGTTTCGTTCAAATGCGGAACTATCTTCGATCAAACTCGATAATGCGCGAAATTTCTAGCAAATTGAACGTTGGCATTGGAAATTAAATAATTGGGGTAATCCATTGTTCGAGTGACTTATTTCGATAAATGGGTTGCAGGCGGCGTTTACATACACGCCTTTCACGAGAGAAGAGCACGAGAAAAGTCCGCAGAAAAATCTAATCATAACATCAAGAGAATAGCCTCAGTCCCTTCTGAATTTTAGTTTTAATACACGACCTTCTATAAGGTTTTAAGGGCAAACACAAATAGGTCGACATAGCACTCCAAGCACGTGGCTCTAATATACTGTCCACAAACAGTTTTTATGCGCAAATAAGTCTTATCACCTTCGGATATACGTTCCAGTCAATGATTTCGTGATCAATATGGAGAAAGCCAGTGGTATAAAATTTTGAAAAACTGCTTTGTAAGCAGATCTTTTACATCTTGCATAGTTATCGGTTATTTGACCACTTTGAGGTGGAAATGCTGACGATAGTTGCGTAGCGTGTCAAAACTAAAAAGCTTTTATATTATAAATTAATTTTGCGCTATTCGGTATCAAGGTCAATCAAACTATATAATGAGAAGCAGACATCATAGAGTTTCATTTTACAACTTTAAATCTGGTTGACTCCACTAGTCTGACTCGACCGTCTCTAGAAAGTGGCACTAACTAGGAGTTCATAGATCTGCTCCAATAAAGTGATCTGCCATAATTCGAACATTATTTTTCATGGAAAGCACATTAAAGGAATAGACTTACCAAGTCATCCGTATACAAGAATTTTAAAACGTAAAAAACTAAGCCTAACGTTTAGGGCTCCTGATCACGATTTGCAAGTCACACTTCCAGGGTAAGGGCCGTATACTGTTACAGTTCTTGATGCATTTTAATGCTAACTGCATTTGCCATTTTTGTAACTTGCAGGGCATGCACCTTAACATGCTGTATTGCTTTTGTTATATACCAAATAATGGTCAATAACTAAGATTAGATACAACTACTTTTAGCTGCATTGCAATTTGTCCGCCAATCATCGCCCAGGCGCCCAGGAAAAAACGTCAAGACATTTGTATTGAACGTACAAACTATATATCGTATTGCTTAGACAGTCATTATTTGTATTGGGAAATGAATTACACAGTTTGTCCTGGGCAGGCACACGACGAATCTATACACAGTTCAAATGCCTGAATGTTGTCATTCAGTACAGTCACGTAATATTATATTATAAAGGTTTTGCAGAGGACACACCTGGAAGTCTGCAAGCCGACTGAGAGCTTATTAAAAATGTCTGGAAAACTTTTTTTAGCGACCTTTGACTTTCCACAACTAAGCGTTAAATAGCATCATGAATGAGGTGCAAAATGCCGTAATTACCATTTAATTAACCCAACAATGCTGCGTGAATTTAACATAAATCTAAGAGACCCATAACATATCAAGTGCAGTAATTTCTTTGTTTAAAATACGATTTGCACATGTTTGTTTATATCTTCGCATTGAATATTCTCATCAGATTTATTTTTCATAACTTCATATTGACCCGCATGATGTGCCGCTACAGCTATTTACATGTAGGTGCGCCGCCGGTATTCATTCGCTCCAATGGTTCACGCTTAATATGTTATTAAAAACAAATTTAAAAACACACCTGAATAATTTCCCCAAAATGAAAACTGTACCAAATGATTATTTGTCGAACCCATGTGTTAGAAGAAGGAGGATATGGACAAAGAAGTATCAAATCAGCCACAAAGTACGCTTATTTCTCTTTCAGAATCTTATTTTTCTGAAGCTCGACCGAAAAGGCGATCTATTTGAACGAAAAGGATTAGCAAATGCATGTATTTTACCTTTTGTTAATATCTAGCTGGTAGACCTAAGACAATTACCCATCAGTAAACGTTTTTGAGTCACACCCTTTCTTAAACTTGTCGCTGAGTTATCGGTCCGTTTAAAAAACACTATTTGGTTACCCTAGAAGGGTAACTGTGTTTGTTTGTTTTATTGTGTTTATAGCCGCATACATATTGTTGATAGCCAAAGTTGGTAAAACTTGACCTTTTTGCTGCAGAAATCGTAACGCTTTCTTGACTGTTTCAAATGTTCCTATATATCTCCTGGGTTTTAGGTAAATTTTTGTATGTTTAGAGTATTCCCATAAAACAAGGAAAATTTAGAAATGTCAAAAAGCTTAATTAGATGTATTCTGCTCGTATAATGTGAAAAGCAAAGACATATCTTATTTTGACAATTTTTGTGTAAGTGTGTGTAAATTCTCAATGGTCTAGCATCGCCCTTTGTTCTTTGAAAACACATTCGCTCTGTCAGAAACAGATAACCTTTAAGATTATAGTACTGTATTAGCAAATAACAAGAAAATATTTTTAATAAAAAAGGCTCAAATGTTATATCATTACGCCCACTGTATTGTCGACTGGAAGTTATAGCTGCAGCTGCCCCAATAGCATTATTTTAATAAAGCGTGAATCCCTCTTAACGATAAACTAATACAAAAGGCACTTAAAATATAATAAATCTGATCTATCGGTGGTACGCTTCTAAGCTCTTCAAGTGGTTTTAGATATAGGTTTGATTGTAATGAATGTGCATTTTGAATACAAGACTCAATTTGTACGTTTCAGTATCCTTCATATGCTGGTGTTTTCGAAACGCCAGATTTCTGGGCCATATTTTGTTATAGTTGAAATAGATACAGCACACGATTGAATATAAATGATCTAACTGTAAATAACTAAAAAGTCATAAATGCCATTTAAAAATTTTACTATTCACACAAATTTCTTCAACAAAAAACCTTACTCATCGGTTTCAGTGTCAAAATATTTTGTTTTTTTAAGTGCGGCACTCGCTTCACTTTCAGAATTTGTAAAAGCCTTCCAGTTCGTCTGACCAACCACAAACCCGATTGCTTTTGCGCGATCTATCTGTTTTCTCTCCTCTATATCCGCCCAGCGAACTCGTTTTTTACCTCCACCTTGGCTACTTGTTCGAGTCTCATAATCATCTGTGACCGCAAGAAACTCCTCCATCGGTACGCTCCTTGATGAGTTTGGACATCTCTTATAGCCCCCACCGTCGAGTCTTGCTGGAATATTATTATTATTGCATAAGTATATTACAATGTGATGTCTAGACGCGTTATCCTATTATTATAAAATCACTATTATTTTATTGCCTTCAGAATGGACGCCACATTTTTTCCACATATCGGAATAGACAGCAACTGTTTAGGTATTACCTTTCCCGTTCATTTCTCATACTGGAATCTATAAGCTCTGAAAAAATGTTTTAATTTTTTTTTTATACCTTACTAGTATGCCTAATAATTCCTATTGCATTATGTCATTAGGATCAATAAGCTTTTGTATCTTTATTTACGTGCTCGATGGTGTGAACACAGAAATAAATCAATGTACGTTAAAAATTATGTACCGTACTAAGCCTTTGTTTTGGGACATTTATCGTAAAATAAAATTTCGTTAATTGCCAAGCCACTTGCCTCAAACACTTATGACGCTCGTGTCGCGCTGCTGAAGGAATGTAGGTATCGAAAACCGTTGCAACTTGGGCAACGGATTCAACAAGCTCACAAAATGAAGCTTTTTGACAAAAAATGGAACTCTACGAAACGCATTCGGGTCCATTCTAGTGTTTAGATAAACTAGCTACTACTGGAAGGGTTTCATGAGGTTGAAAAGCCTCTTAGTGTAATTGTGTGTAGTGCCTCTTAGTATAGTGCCACTAATTGTAACCTTATGACCGGTATGTTTAAATAAGCTTATTTGAATCTTGACTTTTCAGAAAACAAACGCGACGTCAAAAACGGAAGCTAAGTCCTAACCGTTTAAGCCACCTTCTTTAATGTTCGCTTTCTTCCGCCTAAAATTTGCGACATTGATGACGCTGATGACGTCCCCTTACCATACGTTTAAAGGTTGTCGGGCGTACAGTATTAGAAGACGTACGCAATATGTATCTAAATTTAAGTAAGTCTAAAGTTTATCTCCATATACGGCTGCAAAGCTCTTGGAATCATTTCTGTTATAACGCCGGCTTGCATCGGATTTCCGTGACCTCATAGTGACACTGAGAGGTACCTGCAGCTTTAAATCGCATGGCGCATAACACATTGATAATGACCACGCTTGCCAGTTTTTTACAGATGAAGTATCCAAATACTACAAGTTGAAGAGGCTGTAATATGGGAACCAAGTTCAGGACACCAAGGCTAAATAACACCGGCTGGAACGGGTTATCTCATCTCACAGCATCAATAAGAGAAAGCGACTCCGTTAAACCCAAGCACAGCAGAGTAGGCTTCTAAAGCTCGTTGTAATAGGTCCTCAACTGGGAGAAACGACGATTCATGGACAGTTGCTTAAGCTGTGCGCTAGCTCTCCGCGGCAAAAAATAAGGTATTATCGCATTTAGGATGAATGCTTTATTTTAGTGCGAGGGCCACTTATGCAAATAGTCAGTACAAAATGAACAGACGTTTTTATTTTTGACATTTGCGCTGTAAACATGGAGAAGCAGAAATAGCACACCGTTTAAAGCTGTTTTTTTAAACGTATATGGTTTCTGCAAAAGGTATCCTCACCGACGCTATACGCCAATATTTATCATCACTGAAAGATCCGAAGGTATTGTCTGTCGACTTTGACTCCCGAAACGAGATCGAAATTCAATTACTATGGTCGCTGGCTGAATATGTAAGGTGCAAAACATCGCATTCTAATTTCTGAGTTTACTTTTTGGGATCTCTTTGGGATTCCACTTACAAGTGCAAGTAATGACAAGAGAGTAGGAAAATTACTAGCTTGCATTTTCCTTAAATCGTCTTTATTTCTGTCCTATATACCTTTATTTCTCATAGGTAGAAATTGAATTAGATTAACTTAAGTTGTAAACTGCTCTACTGTTTTCTTTCACCGTCACTGAGAATAACATAGTAATAAGTGTCCAGCAGAGTATCGTCATTAGGATAACAGAAGACACTACAGTTGTTATTCCTCAGATATATTGATGTAACAGGAGGTCAAACGTAAGGAGACAATTATACCTCCTTAATGACTGCCTGTGCAAGAAGTTACATACTTATTGCTTTCTAAAAATTAGTGGTATGGGTTTCCACTAGACCTGTTGCATCATAAACGGCACTCTCCTCAGAGGACATTGCTATTTGTTTAAATTTGAGGCTTTTAAAAATATCTTTTAGTTGTCTGAAGACATACGTACAGTCTGCACATTTCAGCACCGTAGTTATGTAAAGCATCTGTCGAGGCTGAAGGTTGTCTTCAGCACGTAAACCAAAAATTTTTCAAGATTTGTTTGTTGTCTCGATTGCCTATAATGGTACGTAAGTCCGCTTTCTTAACTATCAAATGGTCGGGGATCATATCTCAAAGTAGGTAAAACGAGGTGCTAAACTCTCGGTGGTGCCGATATGCCGTGTGCTATGTGCATAGAGTGTACCTGCTGTCAATATTTGAAAAGATGCTCATCTTTTTTCATAAGATTTCTTCAATATAAACATCTGTTTAAGCAGCTAGTAGAAATTTGGGATGAGCAAAATAACAATTCCGGTGTTGCAACCATGTCTCAGCGCCTATAGCCCTTTTGGAAAAATACTGAACTCGTTCGCCCTAAAGTATTGGCCTCAGTTGTTGAAAACCTTCGCATCTGAGTACGGGGACGTTTAGGAATGTTCTGCTTAAAGCATTGGCTTTCAAAAAGGGTATCATAAGCTAATTTTAAGATCGAGTGGTCATAGGTACTGCAGTAATGATCCGTAAATATGACGCATTCTAAATCATATATTTTGATCATATTTACTGTCTGTGTACTTACATAACGTCTCGTCTGTGTTCTCCATAGTCTCCCATCTTGAGGGAGCGAGACCGCGCCAGGTGCAACTGGTAGCTTCATCTTCGTCCTCGGGCTGTCTCCTCTCATCGTTCTTGGAATCGATATCATCAGCAAGTTTACTGTTTACTACGGTATCTCCGTGCAAAGCTTCATTTAGATGCTCATTCTTCATTTCAGCTTCGCAGAAGTTGTTTCGCATGGTTTTATGATCCAATACAACATACACGGCTGTTGTGTCCTCCCAGTTATCGCTCATCTAAGACAGAAGATCAGTATAGAGGACATAGTAAAGCGTAAGAATCGTTACTTTAGATAATCAAATGCAGACTCGTTTTATTGTTGAATTTAAACATTGATATTTACATTTGTGCGAACGGGTTCCGTAAAAAATACTTCACTCTTGTCAAAGGTATTTCGATATGACCGTTCGTTAGCTTGCCTGTAACTATTTAGAGGTTGAAAATTTCTTAATAACTTTTAAGCTACTGAGTATTAAAGCTGGTAGATATTTCCATTAGGTCCTTGACTCTTTGATAGTGTGAAACACTACGAAATGATTGAATTCGGTTAAAAAACAATAATCGTAGGGACAAAGATATCGTTTAATGCTGAAAATTAATGTTCACTAATTATATTTTTTCTTCGCAAAAGTGAGAGCTCTGGTGAATCTTTTGAAGGTAGACAAAAACATTAGGTAAATATAACTCCAGCGAAATAACACTTTGTTATTGATGCAATCATTTTAACGGAAACTGAGAGATTGCAAGCCATAGAGGGGTTGAATACACCTCCGGACCACAAACGGATGAATGGATTTCTGTGACCACAAACGATTTTGAGCAACACAGAGCACGGATATAATGCGCAATTTGAGCAATAATGTGCCTCCTTCCAGCTCAGTGTAAAATTCCTCCAAATACTTTTCAGAAATACTGAAAATGTAGAAGCAAAACCAAAATGGCTTTTTCTTAAACTAGATTCAGGACATATAGAAACACACTTGATGTACTGTAGAAATAACTTGCGTAACTATTACTAGAAAATAACCATTTACAGCATAGCAAGGAATTTGGCATGGAAATCAACGTTACACGGTTTGATTACTCGATGAAAAGGTACAACCTCATCGCCACGTTTCAATCACAGTCTGCATCGAGCAAGACATAATCAAGAGACGGCTTGACTTTATATTCAAGATTTGAGCCCGTGTGGTTTAAATTGCGTTTATCCTTTAAAGAGATCCATAAGCGACGCAGCATATTTTATTTTCAATTTCAAACAATCGAAAACGAGATTAAGCATGCTAAAGCATATCAGAAGCACACAGCTGTTGAACAGCAAAATATCGTTGTTCTACCCTAGTTCCTCCGGCAAAAAGTCACCTCACTGTAGGTCTTCTAGAACTCCTGGTAGTTCAAATATAAATACTTACCCATATCAAGTCAATTAATTCTGCATGGGTAGAATGGCCGAGTGCTGTGCATCGCTATCGTCCAGCTTTTACTCCTGAATTTCGATTGTCTTGTTCTGGACAAAAAAGTTTGCACATTACGAAAAATCTTTCACAATGCGATTTGCAAAGATGCATTTGTGCGCTACATCTCACACCAGTATTCCAATTATTGTTTTCATAAAGTAGCTCTAAATTTCTATATCAATTTTTCCATATGTTGGAATCAAACTACACAAAAAGTCGGAGACAAAAAGTGCACCAACCTGTTGACATGCTTTATGGGCCAGACATGTTACCCCTGATATAATTTATGGGTGTTTGGTCGGTCACGCACTTAATGCGCATTGATATCAAAGTTATAGGTACCAAGCTTTTTTGCAGAACAAGTAATCTCTATTGAGTCGAATGTTTTATGAAAATTTAGCACAATAGCTAAGAAATTATTTTACGATTTATCGCATGCTTATGTTTCTTTAAGAGTTCTATTGTAGACAACGAAATGGAAACCTTCTTCAGGAAGTCAATTTTTTGTTGTCCCCACGTTGACTGAAATCAGTTTTCGCGATCTGCTTTCGATCTTAGAAGTACTCAGTCTATAATAACGTATGAAAGGCGAGAGCATAGGATCAAGCTAAATGAGTTTGCGACAGAACCCAAGGTGTAAGAAATTGTGGCTTCCATACAACGCTTAATATGCAATGACGCCTGAGGAGCAGACGGTGTCCATAAAAATAACTCTAAGTAAACTTTATTATTCCCTACTCCAGCATAATTTTGTTCAATGCTCGTCCTCATACCGACTGCCACCCCATGGCACAACGCCCTCTTCTTCGTAATTTCGAAAAAAAAGTGGTTCCTTATTAGCAACTTTTTACATCGCAAAAAAAAGTCGGCTTCTTTCAACTTCATTTATTACCAGATTCTAAACTGAAAAGGCGATTCTAAAATAACAGTATGGATCGGGTAGCATTTCATGGACGTTAGACACATGCCGGAGCATATAAATAACATTCAGCCTTCTATACCGATACCCCGAAGACATGTATACATTATATCCATGGGCCTCTGCCTCTGCTATAGAGATAATTTCTACACAGAAAAAGGAGTAACAAACAATAATTTACAACTCTTCATCTCAGTCTTATAAGTAAGTCCAATTTCTATTGAAAATGGTGTCGCAAAGTTTAAGCCTTTCTCGCAAGCTACTCGCAACGATAAGAAGGACAATTTACGTCAGCTGCTCTTTTCCATTCTAATATTAAGACGAAGAGTCTATTACATAGCGCTATTCGTCGAATATCAGGTGAAGGTTTCATTTAAGAGGAATAGAAGCTTACCATTAGTTTATTTACGAGTACGATTTGAAAATGAATGGTATCAAGCCAGAATGTTACTGAATAGGGGCTGTGACCTGCCTGGAGAGACAGTGAGAAAACCAACGGACAAAGCGTGACTTGGTACGCGGTTAATGGATTTTTTACATTATTCTCCGTGCTTTGAAATAACTGCCGTTGTCGGTGATGCGGAAAATGCTGCATTCTGCATCACGCAAAACGTTTTTAGCCAACACTCTCTCTCAACGGATTGGCATGTTCTTAAATAATATATAGTGAATTTATTTTAATATCACGTTTTTATGATCACGACTATGTTTTAAATTTTTTATGTGCTATATATTATTGGCTAGCAAATAGCGTAAGTAAACTTTACCAAAGAATTGTCATCTTTTTTAATAATTCATAAGTTTCATTTAGTAACTCAGAAGAAAAGAATTTATCTGTACGTCACAACTGATGATGTAAAGTCTCACGTAGTAGATGATAATGCAAAAACGGATATCTTCTTTGATGCGCCTAAGACCCTTTTAATTATAATACCCTTATTAACATTCTATTACATGTAGGTGCTGCTGAAGAACGCTGTCAGTTCTTGCGAAGCGATATGTAAAATAAATCCTCTGTGAGTGCTATTCGTCTCATCCAGTGTTCTTTCTAATGGCTTTAAATTTAGTTTCTTTTTTACGGTGCTTTATATTTGCCCTAATGCTGGCATTAAAACACATCCCCGCGACAAAAAGTACTTGCTCAAATACAAGGCTATACTGTAAAGCCTGACCTCAAGAAGACAGAGCTTTCAGTAGCACGAGTTGAAGTTTACCGATCACCAAAATTCTCCCATCTCAAAGGCACTAACAATTCTATTAAAAACATTACAGTTCTCAGTTCTGGTGACCTATGCCCAGTCTCTATAATTAATGATGGGGCAGCTCTCTAGGGCCTTGTGCTTTATCCTAACATATCTTGAAATCCATTTCCTACTAAGCCAATCTTCTAAATCTTTAAATGTTATTTGCCTATTATTTAGCTTCATTGAAATCCGTTAAGCTCATCCTACAGATTCTTCTTTCCGCTTTCTTCCTTTTGTTTCTTACGATATAACGGTCTGGTTTCAGCGAGCGTACCGTAAATCGGCTTCAACAATAAGTATATTTATAATATATGTAACAAATAACCTGACAATCCAAACCTGACCGTCTTACTATTTTAATTTCAAAAGTCGGCTGTACATTCGGTTTGTACATCCGAAATCTTTCAATTGATTCGGAATGAATGCTTACAAGTTATATTATATTTTTTACCACATTCAATAGATAAGTGTTTCGAATCTCACATCTAATTGTGCTTCTAGACTCTACCATCTAAACGCGCTTAACTACTTAAGGAGAGTTATGACATTCAACATACCTTTTTAATATCCTTAAGCGTTCGATTATGTATGTTACGTTCATAGCAAATTTTTGGGTCTCTTTCTTCGGTTTCCATGATGAGAACGGTGTACTGATTCTCCTTGGCAGCAGTGGCTAATTGGTTGACCGAGTTCATTTTTGTATTTGGTGCATCCACAATGAGGAGTGAGAAGTGACGGGCTTCAAGCTGTTTCGTAAATGCTTTTAAGAGTGAAGCTTCATATGTCGACTCCATAGATTCGTCATGCACGTACGCCATTTCCTAAATTCCAACAGTCCCATATTTAGGCTAAGAGTCTATAGAGGCACATTGTCAAGGAATAAATTCAATTTATTTTTAATTGCTATTTTTTACAGTGCTTTATATTTGCCCTAATATGGCTATTTTGTCATCTTGGTAAATCGAATAATCACTAAACGTAATGTGTAACGAGCTACGTGTGTGAGAAAATCAAATCGAACTGTGACTGCTCTAGCTATAGTGTGGCTGTTACTGAGGAGTATAGTCATAGGAGAGTTTCGTTATCAATAACGGGATAGTGCGACAGTAAAAAGTCATAGTTTCCTATACAGCTTTTCCTTTCTCAAGTAAATTTGTTAGTAAAAAGTTGAGTTTTCTTCTTGTAGCGTTTAATGAACACCATGCGAATTAATCGTAAGCGTTCTCGCAAAGTCTCAGTTGCAAGTCCTCCCGACCATGAATTTCTTTAGTTACTGGTGTCTTCTTATATTTACAAAGCGCGCTAGAAAAGGAATCGAATGATACCGATATTCTATGCCCCGTTACATTATAATTGTTATAAATATCAATTTTTTCTCCAAAATATCGTAAATTACTAATTCATACAACATCCCATGACCAATGGCCTCAACAGAATGCTGTGGAATAAACGTTGCACACTATCGTGGATATACAGATCATGTCGCTACTTTTGCCATTTGCTATTTTTTTTCAAGTCTCCTGACAATTGGAGAGTCCTTATTTCATATTTAGAAACACAAACTACTGCAATAAAGAGTGGCCTTAGTTGTGCGACACTTTATTTCTATAATATTATAATACGAGCACATTAGAAAATATAGCATTACAGTGGTGTACGTTTAAGTGCAATCGATTCGCGTTTATACATCTTATTCAACTAACCCATAATTCCTTACCATATCTCTTGAATATATCGAGTATTTTTGTTTCTTCCATATTTGATATTAACAAGTCTGCGAATCGAGCACAACCAAAAAATTCGGACCTGTAATAAAACCCTCTGTCTGAACAGCGCTTGCCGTTGAACAGCTTATATGCCAACTGCGTGATCTATAAGTTCAATAGACACATAAATACATAGTTTACATTTACAAACTGTCCTATTTATGATTCAAGAGCTCAGTGAGTTCACAGCATCCCATACGAAAAGTGTAAGGTATTCTTCAAAGCCCATCGCTTATTCTATTTATTTAAATACCCAAAGAAAACAGTTCCCCAAGCTTCTCGAAAAAACGAAATGGGGGGTAGAGAGCACTAGCCTGTAGTCTATCAATCTTTCGCGCTCTGTTTTCTTATTTCGCTCTTAAGGCCAACATGATCCGTTATCCTGGCAGTTCACCCTTTTTCACCCTTTTCACCGCGCCTACAAAGCTTACGTGATAAATCTTCGTATAATACCGGGAAGTCAGTAATAATGCATTTCGTGCTTATTATTTAGTTTCACTACTTGCTATTTTTTGTACATCGATTACCTCAACATAAATCTAACAAATGAAAATCGTAAATCGATCATGAAATTGTACTAATGCGGGTACTAATACGAACATACGACAGAAAATCTCTACGTAATATTAGAACAGCAACTGAATCAATCGGTAGTGAATATTTGAGGGTACATTTTATATGAAGGAATGACTGGATTTTTTTCACTCAACTTTTGCGAGAGACCTATACCTTTTCATGCTACGGTTATTACTATTATACTGTTAGAGGTACTAATAAAAAAAGACCATCGACGTGGACGGAATGGTTTACTCATATAGAGCAAGTGCACCAAAAAACTGACAATCACAGAACGCTCTATACAATTGTGATAATTTGCGTACTTCCTGTGACGTTGACCGATATAAAATGATGATTTTCCAGTTGTCAGGAGACTTATGGCTCATCTTGTATATACAGGATGCCCCAAAAAATGTATATGCTGTAATTCGCCAATTATGCTGTAATTTGTGAGATTGCGTCTCAATATCCTATGGTAAAAATAATTATCTATGATAAATCCTGATCAATGATCGTAAAAGGCGGCCACATGTAACATGTGTGTAGACAACAATGACATGTGATGCAACGAATGCAAGCAGACGATGGTTTAGCTGTACCTGACATATATACACATATGCGTATTCCTACTAAGCTAACTTGTACTTTTAGGATACTTGTTTTTGTGTACAATCAGCATTGCCGGCGTCCGACTTCATAAGTGGCCGAAATCCACTTGACCTTCGCCCACATATCCCGCAAGGTGGTCATGTAACATAACTTCATATAATAACTTTCATAAAACATCACTTGCTTTAAGTTTGCTTTTGAAGATGCATCTTTAAGACAAGCGAAACCGCAGTAAAAGAAACACAAACTAGTTATTTTGCTTCCTTATCGTGTAGTAAAAATTTGATGAAATGAAAAAACCGTATCTTTTATTATTTGATCAGAAAAAAATCCAATAACCCGAATGACATTCAATTTCTAGTCGGTGTGCATTTCAAGATCTGTGAAAGTTGTCTAACATTAAAAATTAAAATCAACGTTTTTTTAAAAAAAAAGCCGTAGTTTATATGGTCCGTACTTCATAAAAGCCCATTTTCTCCTAAGAATAGCATGTTCTTTTTTAAGGATTGTTGGCTGTTGACGGGCCGATGAAATACCTAACACAGAGTTTATAAACTCAGCAGCACTTTTAGGAAAACTAAATATATGACTGTTATTTTGTACGCATATTAAACCAAATGGTTAAAGCTCCTGCAATCTGAAAGTAGAAAAATCTAAAGCGAATGCATGCAACTTTGATGTATTCTAGGGTAGGATAGCTTATGTTTCTGTCACATATACGACGTACCTTCTTATTGACTGTACAGCCATCCTCTGACACGACTAGAGCTTCACTTTCAACGAGATAATAATCGTCAATGGACATTACTCGCACTTCGTTAGCAGCTCCATGCGACGCTTCTAGTTCTTTAAGCTTTCGGCAAAGCTGTGATTTCCCGGACCCTGGTAGCCCTCGTAGAATTAGCGCAATATACGGAGGTCGAGAATCACGTAACGGGGGCAGAAATATATCGCTAGCCGGGCGTGTACGAGGTTTCGGTCTTGGAATTTCTAAAGGAGGTCGCGTTCTGAAAACATCAAGCTCCTATTTAAACTTGTCAAGGCATATGTAGACAACTAGGTCTTAACTCAAAATAAATACTTTGTGGATTACAGTAGTCTTAATGTAGTTATTTTGGTGTGACTTTTAATATCCAAGGCGTTTAAGATATCACGCGTACGTTTCTTATGAAAGGGAAAACCCATAAGGCACGCAGAAAGCTTTGGTTATGCCATTTCCGCAATTGCTGTGGGGCTTCTAGGCTAAAAACGTAACTACCATTGTTGCCTATCAACCCATTAAATATTCAAATAGTTCTAGCATTCGAACCTTCTTTGTTAATTTTAAAGCTGAAATTGTGCACATTAAGCGGTGCGCAAAACGGTACGTAGGGTCTTCATGAACTATTTATTTACTCGTTGCAAGAATTTATCAGAAATCTTCTTAGAGCCATTTGGCCTAGAGAGAAGTCATAAATCAGGTAACAATAGACCTGCAGTACCCGTCACATGCTAGTATTGCACCATTTAGGAACGTTTTAGTTGTAGGGAATTACAGAAGAAGGAGAATTACAGAACCGTAAGCATGCTGCCTACCATTAAGCAATAATGCAGCATCACTGGTATAATTTCATTTCTATTCGGTAGAAAGCTAGACTTCTCCAAAATCCGAGATGTCGTGATGCAAGAAATCGTCTTGTCGTTGACATCCGGTATCAGCACTAAAATATTTGAGTTTTATTATTATTTATAAATTAAAATATTGAGCAAAAAACCAACTTACGTTTAGTACTTTCGAACTGCCAAGAGGATAAGCTCTTTATTGGCTTTCTTTTTTAAATGTTGATTAGGGCATACCAAATGACAACCAAAAGGACGAAGAAAATCAAAATAATGATAACAAGCAAACTCCTGAGACGTTCCATATGAATTACTGCAAGAACGTCAAACGTCAGTATAATCGAAAACAATAATTTTCCGCAAAGGTAGAATAAGGAACCGACATGCTTCCGTAACTAGACCTCCTCGCCAATGAACTCGGCCGACTTTATGGGAATCATGATTTCATTATGACAATGCAAAAGGTATCTGACAATTTCATAAAAGGCATAATTAACTAAAGACGTCCTTAGCACAACTAGGATTTTGATAAAAACAAATATCTTATATAGTAAAAAGGTAATCATCAACGAGCAAATAAATTAGGGTAACACAGGTACATAATTAATGTGATAAGGAACGTGTGAACTTAGAAATTCGAAAGAGCCCGTACCCAACATGTTCTCACGCACCAGCGATCAACGCTTAGTTTAGCTGCGGCTGATTGCCTCGGCAGCTGAGTTGCGCCGATTTTAGACTTCAATAGGTACACGTTATAAACGTAGTTCATGCTCTTTGAAAAACGAACAAGCAAGTAACATTGGAACATTGTTTGTACTCTGCGGTTATTGGGGTAAAGCATAGCCTGAGGCGGTGCGCGTTGTGTTACATCCGAATCAGAATTTTTATGGTTAATAGAACAAGGCTAGTTAAGTGATTAACCTTTTTATCAAATAATGAGCGGAGAGTGATGGCAATGAGTTATCATAAGAGAAATCGAACCGGATACATCTACGCGTCTCTTGCCTATTAAAGGGCATTAAACTGTGCTATATCCTTAAATTAGGATGCAAGCAAGCCGCCAGGTTATTTGTTACAGATCAATATCAAAAATTTGAGCAAGTAAGCTGTGCAAAAAATGTGTTGGTATAATCGAATACGTATGATATAACCTTAAGGAAATACAATTAAAATTTGATTATAACCAATCTAAGCTTAGTAGTAACAAACTTTATTTCATTGTTAGCAAAAGAAAATGCTATAGTTGAGATTAATAGCTGTTTGTACAGTTGATGTGTCGTTTCATAAGTCTAATGCACAAACTCTAAGGAACTCCAGCCCGTCCCAATTTGGTTGGACACCTTGATCTGAACTTCTGAATCCTTGATACTACAGCTAGAAAAAAGCAATTTCGTAGACTGGTTCACATAAAAAAATAAATGGACGTACTAAAAAAATAACATGTGGTGAACACCAAATGTTGTTTTTACACGTACGCGGCCGATTTCAACTTATTATAGCCAGTTGTGAATCATCTGATTCGAACGACACATCTTAGCTATGATCTTAAAGATGCTTAGTTCAACTGAAATTCTCATATAATTAGCTTTAACTCCTTTAATCATGTGTAGAATATTTTCCTAAGATAGTTCTCTGGTGGAAGTCCAATAGAAGTTATTTGTCTTGTACTTTCGTTAAGTTTTGTTCCAACAGAGATACAAGATAAATAAGCATTTATGACTCAATCATTCAATTTAAGAATCCTTCAAAGTTCGCATCACCTCATAGAGGCTAAAAAACTACTCATCAAGAGTGCGCTTCACTTACTGAAAGAGTCTCCTGAGAAGGAGCAGTACAGAGATAGGTCTAACTTTTGGTTTGGGGTCTCAGCTATATATAGTACCACCTATGTTGCGAAACAATGCTAATATCAGCTGATTAGCTGCGTTCTAGTTGCCGGTTGAAATAATGGCAAGAAAACCAACGAGAAACTAGCCTTATCTAATTCGAACTTTTGAGTTGTAACGTTCAGGCAAGTACTTTGGGAGCTTGAGTAATCGAGGTGCCTGCTAATGCATAGAGACCCACATAGGACATCAGTTGTGCTCTACCAACAGAACAGGTAATGACTTGTACGAAGTGGTAAATACGATAAATATACGAAGTGGTACGCATATACTAATTACTCGGAAAGGAATGCTGGACGCGAAATATAGGCATTACGATTTCCATATAAAGGTTTGTATGTGTTTTTCAACATTAAGTAGTGAAACGGCTGATGTAGTGCTTCCAGAGATGAATACCTATGGTTATGAGGAAAATCTATTCAGTATTAATCCCTAGTAGCACGCATTAGGTAACTATCAAGCGAGACGACCTGGAGCTTGGCATACATTAGTAGTCCTGGTGACCGAAGAAAACGGCACCATTAAAAAATAAGCGACAAGCTGTACTTAATGTAGCAATATTGGCGTGGGTTTACAGTACTGGTTTAACCTTTTTACGAAAGGCCAATGATACTGTAGGTAAGCCAGTAATATTATTGCCCGTCATATTATTGATTATCAACGGTTGTCAAGCGGACAATGACACTAAAGCTCGAATATCCTGCCCAATCCTGCCCAAATTTACTTTCAATGCAAACTTTCTACCGCAGGCGGAGAATGCAACATCGGTGGAATTTGAGCGTACGCAAACTGTACTTTATTCCCACAATGGGTCGCTAAGGCGAAATTCGATCGCAGAAGCATCCTACGAAAACAAGCAGGCAAATGCCTGTTTGCTTTTATTACTATTTTATTAACCGTTTCCAGAGTATTGTAAAAAAGCTCCCTACAGCCCACATGAGATTTTAAATATGGGTAACGTTTTTTAATTCCAGCAGAATGGAGTTTAAGGCCAGCAGGCTCGGGACAGCTTGCTTCTTTGATCAGTTGATTTGGAAAAAAATTGAGATTTTTTTACGACTGCCGCATTCCCTCAGTAAAGTCCATCAATCTGCTTCCTTTGGGGCCATAGGAAAGTTTACATTTAAGCAAGCAAACCAGCAGCTATCCAAAAGTTGAAAACTGATATTCAAATAGTGATACAATCAATAAATCAATTCCTGCTTCTGCTATTAAGAAAGTTGATACCTGTCTTCGTTTCGCGACAGCAAAAAAGTAAACTAAATTAGATTATACTTCACATATGAATAAACAGAACCCGGCAAGACGATAAAACCGAACTAAAGAATCTAGTTTCTTTTAAAGCGCAATGCAGTATACAGAAGTAGCTTCAGACGTCCAACCCATGAAGTCTGCTTATTAATGCTTCTACAACTTTCACTCCTCTTTTGTGTTAGAGACGCGTCCTACGTATTACGTACTTGCTGCTAGAATGTATTACTTTATTTCTGCATACTCTTGCTATTATTATTAGCTATTATTTACATGTGTCACACTATTTGCAACTCAGAAACAAATATGCCCTTTATTTTTTTTCTCCTGCGAGCGAACGTCTCCATTAAAGCCAAACTACTCTATGGAACGCGTTCCATATTCTTAGTATTACAATGTATATAATATTTAATAGTTAGTTCTTCTCCACACATACTATGTTAGTTAGTTATTTATTGTAAGCTTGTTCTCATTGGTTTTCTATACACAACGGAGTATTACAAGCAGCGAGCCGGTTTGACGCGCTCAAACCGACGTTTTGAATTTAAAGTACATATACTTTTTTTTTTCACTCATTATATTACGCTCTGCTCGTTTATACCTGCTCTACATTTACTTTCTGCTATATTAAAACTCCGCTATAAATCTATTACTTGATTTTTTGCATCAATTTTGAAATCATATATTCTTTTGCTGAAACCTATATGCTGATCCCGTTTGTCTTTTATCTTGTTTTTCACAAGAATTTTCACAACTTATTTGTTAATCTCTAGCTAAAATAAAATCTTGAATTTCACGTCGTAGGGTTTTTTGCTTGCAACTACTAAACCTAAAAATTTGACGATCCAAATTTTCTTGGTGAGCACTCCATATAATTGCATTCGTATCTGTCACAATTAGAACATGATTCCATATTTCCTTTTTTATTAATGGTCTATTATTAGGCTGGAAAGAATGTTTCCGCGATTTTTTACTGAACAAAAAATACCATATTTTTTATTTTTGTGTATCCACGCTATGTATTTTCCATCATTATTGCATCATATAACGATTCTCTGCAATTTGTCAACCAATTAATTCATTCCTTCTCGTAGGAAATTTTCTGGTTTGGTGTTGAAGAACCTGCCTATGCAAGTTTTAAGACTTCTTTATTGTATGGTCAAATGTACGGTCTCTATATTCATTTTCCACTGAGCGGAAATATGAAAATGTGTTGACGCAAGGACCAGAGAATATGGAAGCCGTAATAAAATTTCCCACTCGGAAGTCCA